GCAATGGATACTGCAGAATAACTAATAACTTTTTGTGAATCCTTACAGAAAAAAAGTGAAGTTGCTTGCTATCTTACTGTTTCCCGATGTGGTGTTACCTTTAACAGACTAGGAAATTTTGCTCACAGAAGTTCTGTCTTATGGATTTTGCACTTATAATTTATACTCTTATCATCAAATTACTGTCTCTCAGAGTGAATTACATGTAAAATATATATTGAATTAAATTAAAAATATAACATAATATTTTTTTATTACTGATTAAACTAGCTGTAAAATTAAATAGAATTTTTTAATTAATTTTAGACTGCACTTTCATGCAGAGACTTCTTTTGTCATCCTAATAACCTGATAGTCTTTCTCCCATGTAGATGTCTGAAGTCCTGCATACTAATAGGAACCATATGCAGACATAATGATGACGTATGCCTTAAGGCCAAATATAATAAATGCCTCTGTGCAATCTCATGGGCATTAGTGGTCTTGCCAGAAATAGGAGCCTATTTTTTGGATGGAAAAAGTGAAACACAAAATAACTATAATCAGACCTAATTCTAGGTGAATTTTGTAACACCAGTAATTAAGCATTCCCATTTTTCTATGTAGGTAGCTGTGTAGACCATGTGGCTTTAAGATTAAGAACAACCTGGTGTCCAAGGCATCAGCACAGTACAAGCAAAAAGTTCTGCTTGAAGGAACCAGCTCTGGCAGCAGCAATTGTCACCATACTCATCCAGTGCCTTTCTCAGTAGTATCAGCAGAGATTTGCCATTTGGATGTTCATGATGTTCAAGCAGCTGATTTCTATCTTCTCCAACAGAAGTAATTTGGCAGTCTGTTGTCCCCAGCAACTGCATACTTTGCCTGAGCCTGAAGCACAGACAGTCATAACCTAAATGATGACCATTATTAGTGTGAAGGACTAAAACAAAATCTAGAGCTATAACCTGAAGTTCTGGAAAGACCTAAAAGAGTAAAAAGATGGGAAAGCAAGACTGATGAAAAACTAAAGATGACAATAAGAGACATCAACCTGTCAAGGAATCACCAAGGCCATCTTAGCCCAAAATGGGATTCAAAATAAAGTTTCAGTATTGCTCATGACAGCACTGAAGACAATTCCAGCCTTAATTAAAACTGTAAGCATATATGACATAGATAGATGGATAAATTTTAGGGGCATGCCAGATATATGTGGTAAAATCAGCACAAATGTCCTATGCTAGGTGGAACTCAATGGCAGGGCAGAGAAAGAAAAAAAGAAGTGAAAACCCAAGAACTATCAAGAGTTCTGTATTTTGCTCCATTACAAAAAGTTTATTCAAATAGGAATGTACTTATAAACTTCTGTGTACAGGAGGGCAAACATAGGACTTTGAAAAGTCAGACATGATAAGAGTGCTGGACTAAATCTGATTCTTTTTTTTTTTTCCCCCACCAAAAATATGATGGGAAATATAATTAGAGCCATTTTCCCCAGAGCTATCTTTCCCTAACAATACCAGGTTTAATTGCTAACTGCCAAGATGTTGAAGCAGATCAGTAACACATCCTTAGGCATATAGTCATCTAAATTCTCTTGAGGAACTTGAGAAGGAAGTAGTTAAAATGCCAGTGAAAACCTTGTAACCACCATTTCAAAATCAGCTGCACTCGTTGACGCCAGGAAATGGCACATACAGCTCTGCTGAGGAGCAGCCATGCTCCCTGGAGCTCCCTCCTTGGCCTGTGGCGAGGCAAGGGCCAATGCCACAAGGGGCAGGGGACACGGGATCGGCCACGCCGGATGGGCTTGAGCTCCGGAGACACCCTCCCTCGGTATTCTGGTCTCTGCAAAGTAAGCAACTGTACAACTTTATAGATAAAACATGTATCTCTATGGCATTCTCCATTTCTTTAATCACACTAGAGACGCATATTTATAATGAATTCAAGCTTTCCCACTTGCATGCATATTTTCCCAATCAAATGCAAATTCTTCCACATTATTTTGTGCTTGTTTTTAGCTGTCCAATTTTAATATATTTTCCTCTTGCACTTCTCTACTGGCTTGCTACAGAAAGTTATCGAGCAATAAGCACGATGAGCATTAAGCACTTCAGGAGCAATAGATCATCTACAAGACTGCAAGAGTGTAAATCACCACAGAGAAAGATTTTCTGATGTCACCTATTGCTCCTGTAGTTATTACAACCCATCATTCTTATGAATTCGTTCCCTGCTAAAAACCACATCTCAGATCTTGTCTTTCAGCTGCAGTTATCTTGCTTTTACTGGGGTAATCTTGATACGTTCTAAACCAACCAACCAACATGGATTAAAAGGAAAAAAAAAAGAGGATTATAATATACATTCACATAATCAACATCAAAGTTCAAACTACCATCAGGAGAAAACAAGAAAGGTTTTCCAGAGTCATGGAGTTCTGGTGCCTTCAGTTTTCAGGCAAGCATAGTGTGACTCTCAAATTCAACATGAAAAGGTGGGGCTTCACTGAAATTTGAATTCTTAAACGTATATTTATATTTTAATTTTTTTCTTGTTTTATTTCCAGACAGCCATCTAAAGCACTGGACTCTGGACCCCACCAGCCTGTAGTTGATCTAGTTTGCTACTAATTGTTGAATACTAGAAGCAAACACGGATTGTTCAGTAAGACCACAGGTTTATTGTGATTATTTTCTATTGCTGTTATAGATATATCAAAGTGACATTTTTAATATAAAAATAAGAGTGATATCACTGCTTGGCATTACGACTTAACTAGATGTAGACATTACAGAAAGTGTTAAAATAAATATGTTCCACTTCACTCTTTCTACTAGAGTCTTTGGAAACTTTAATACATTTTCAGAGAAACATATATTTTTAATTAAGACAAAGAACAAGAAGAGAAAAATTCAATGTGAGAACTCATACACTGTCCAAAGGAAAAGTATTCCAAAATATTTTAAGAGAATTTTTTTTCTCTAGTATTTATCAGAGTCAAAAAAAAAAGGTTTCTCCAAATATTATTACCAAAAAAAAAAAAACCAAATTAAAAAAAATGATGTTTTTCCTTTGATTCATACCATTGAATATAGACATTTTGGCATTTGTTTCTGCAAATAAGCAACGCGGACTTCCTAAGATTGATTGCGTATCTGATTATACATCCTTAATGTAACTGAGGCGTTGTAATTAGTACACAGTTACTATGAAGCCATCGTAATACCGTTTACAGATATACAGATTTTATTTTCAGACACCATTCACAATTGTGTAAATCCGGGATGATTCCACTGAAATTAAATTAAATTAGTGCAGAAATGCACCCTCATACTCAACAGACTGCACCCCACCTCTGATAAATATAGAGAACGACACACGGTAACCGTGACACAAAGGCCCCACCTCTGAAAAGCTCACGGGAACAAGGAAACACCTGTTTGTGCTGGGGAAGAACAGGTGGGAAGCGGTGGTTTGTCGGCTCAATATCCTGTGCTTGCGATTACAAAGCACGGCGCTCAGGTGCCTCTCTTTTTTTGCCCTATGAGTTTATTAAGAAGCCGCCGGTGCTTTGCTCTACCCTAGAGATGCCTTTCCAGCATCGCATGGCTGCCCCCATCTCGCTCCCCGTGTCACCTCGCCGAGCCGTGCTGAACGCACACCGTTCCGCCTGCTGGGTAGTGCAGAAAGCCTTAATTACAGCCTGAAAATAATACCCGCTTCCCCCGGGAGCCTCCCCAGCTATTCCTGTGGGATGGGAGAAGCTGAGAGGAGCCAGGTGGGGGAAGGCTGGCGCTCCCCGGGCCCGAGCGCGGGCAGCGGCGCCT